CCCCAATAAGGGTCGCAACAGGCATAACTTTGGTTGTCTGCAGAACTTGGTTCACAGCCGTGTTTCTCAGTCTAGGGTCTGAATTCTCTCCTTTCCCTGAGAAGTTGGCTACGTTCGGTGTGGCTTGATCTGAGAGAAGGTTAACGCTTTCACGAGCCTCTGAAACCCCGCACCCATTGAGAACGTCCACGAAGGGTCTGGTGTGATGCTGTGGAGAGGTGCCACCCCCACCCCCCCAACCCAGCTCACTGCCCCTGAGTCAATTCTGACGCACTGTGACCCTGAAAGACAAAGTAGACCTGCCCCCGTGGGTTCCCGAGACTGACTCTCAGGAAAGCGCCGCCTCCTCCTGGGAGCAGGTGGGGTAAGCTGCTCACCATGTGGTTAGTAGCCCATGGTGGAAGCACCACTCCATCCGGGTTTAGGACCAGAGTCCTCCCCTAGAGGAGCTGAGGGGATGCCTGCATGGTGCATCCACCTTACAGATGAGGAAACTGGGACACAGGACGTGTGAGCCCCGTGTCCACGATCACATGGAACCAGATTAACAAATGGCTCAAGCCTTCTGATCCCCTCCTCCTTCCTCTTGTAAATTGTCTATGGGAAGATTACTCTGTACCTGTCTCCTAGTGGAAGGGGGCACCCACCGGGGAAGGCGGTGAGGAAAATAAAGGAGAGCTGAGGTGCCCAGCACGTTTACTTTCTGTCAACAGGTCTGGCCAGGGCTTTGGGTCAGGCCAGAGTATTGAGGAACCGGAAGACAAGAGCTAACTTTCTTGGACAGAAAAAGTTGCTGGGAGGCCTCTATAGACACTTCTTTTCCAAGTTGTGTGTTAGGAGGAAGGAGAAGGGGCAGCCAGGTGGGCTTCTGCCTGGCCCCATTGTATGTGGAGCGACTTTCCAGAAACCAGGGCTCCCCAGAAACCAGGGCTCCCCGTTTGAAGGTCCGCCCCCACAGTTGTCATTTAGAGCACTCGGTCAACGTGTTAGGACTGGGCTTCATTGTTGGAAGGAAGGGGTTCCTGCCTCCATGCAGGATGCACAAAAAACGTGGCATGGGCAGGGGCAGCAATGCAGCCTCTCCATTCAGCCAGCCCTCCTGCTTCCAGCAGCAGGCAAGAAGGCCGTTTCTCTGGTCCAAGTGGCCCTTGGGTAGTCTTACTAGACGATTCCATTGCTCCCTGAGAAGTCCCAGCAGCGGTCCATTGCAGTTTACCTTTCCACCAGGGACACGCACAAGGTTTGTGGGGAAGTCTTATCTTTCAATTCCATTTTCCCCTGGACTTTGCAAAGACCCCGTCATGCTTAACAGGTTTAATCTCTTCCATCTATTTATTGATCCCTGCTCCTTTAAACAGCTACTACCTTTGGGATGGCCTGCACCCCATCCTGGGTGGGGGTGGGGGGCAGGACACTGCTGGAGCCGCAGCGTCCTGTGCAATGAATGGCCCAGCCAAACAGGCAAGAATGCTGCCCTTGATGTCTCCTGGGAAGTGAGCCTCCCGAGTTTGAAGTGTTTCAGTAGCACAGGTGGGGTTTGGGTCCAGAGTTCGGCCTTTCCATTAGCCTAGCATTGGTTACTGCCCCTAGCCATGGCATGCCCAGGTCTCTGGCAGCTCTTGCTGGTCTCCTAGAGAAACAAGGTCTCCCCCTGTTGAGCAGTTCTCGGGGATCCTGTCTGCTGCCCCAGGCCTGCAGCAAGCTCTGAGCATGTTCCAGAAAGAGCCCTTGCCCAAGCCTCAGCACTGATGAGGGTTGTCTAAATCCCTGCTCCTTTTACTCAGCCCAAAGCTGCAGGTGGCGAACTTGTGCAAAGTGAGCCCAGTCCTCACAGTTGAGGGACGGACTGGTTTGAGTCAGAGACGGCAGTGTTTATCAAACAAACACTGATGGTTTCCGTCTCAGACAGCACTCGGTCTAAGGGTCCGGGCCCCAGGTGTGCAGGTAGTTGTGAGGATTGTAACCTGGATGCCCTGTGAGTGTCACACCCTGCTACACAGGTGTGGTGTTGAAGAACCCTGGCACACAGGTGACTGTTGCAAGCCAGTCTCTTTCGTTTCCCCAGACTCTGAGAGGACCCCTGGACAAACCGTCCAATCTGAAAGGACCAAATAAATAGAACTGAGAACTGCTCTTTGAAGTCTGTTTTAGTTAATGGCCCTTCTGGGAATTTGTTGCTGCCGGCTGTCTTTCTCTGGGCGGTTTCCCAAATGGATGTATGTTAAAAGGTTGACTCTCAGCCTCGTAAACATGTTCCTTGCACTCAGGCAATAACTCAGGAATCGCTTTGGACCAGAAATCCCATTTTGTTGATTGAAGGCGCCCGATGCATTTTTCCGCTGCTTGCTGTACATCTCAGCCCAGGTTCTGTGACCGCGCTTTGTCGGTAGGCTGGGGGTGAAATGAAATGGCTTGGCCTGGCCTGGCTGGGGGACTGTTTTGAAAGCTTTCAGCCTTTAGACACAAGCAGTTTTGTAGCCACCTGAGTTCATCTGAAAGACGATCTCTGGTCCCATCAACAAGGGCTTGATTACACCCTGGAGGTTCACAGCACCTCTTGGCACTCCCAGCCCTGGGGAAGGGCAGGGGCTACCCTTGTAGATGGGGAGGGGGTGGGGGTGGAGTGAAGAGTGGCAGGAGCTTTTCTGGAAGGTGGAGGCAGGAATTAGATGGTGGAGACAAAGAGAGACTGGCTATGATTATCCTGAGAGACTGGAATGCCACGAAATGCCCTCATTGTAACCTAAACACCCCAAACTACCATCGAGTTGGTGCCCACTCTAGGACAGGGTAGAACTGCCCCCCTGAAGTTTCGGAACACTGTTAAGGGAGTAGAAAGCCCGGCCTTTCTCCTGAGGATCTCTTAAGTTTGCTGTTGTTTTGTTTTAATAAACCCTTTATTGACCCGATGGCCCAGCACTCCCAGCCCTCGCCCGCACAGGCATCTCCCTGCTGTGCAGGAAACCCCCTGTGCACAGCCTGCTCCCCCATCCGTGGTAGCTACAGCTCTGCAGTCTCTGAATAGTGGGAGCCATCCTTGAGTCCTCTTGCAGTGCAGAATATTCCAGCCGGCCTAGCAGTTCACAACAGAGACAGGGAGAGAGCTAACCAGGGGAACCAGGCTGCCGTTCAAGTAATCCGAAGCTGGGTGCTGCCCGCGCTGGTCCAGCGTCTGGTGAAGGCTGTTCGCTAAATCATTTAGGTTGTGTCAGGGCCTTGATTCCCAGGCTGTTTCCTTCCTCCTCTCACACCGACTGCAGGCTGTCCTTGTGGTTGAGCCACCTTCCCCTGCCACGTGGAATGGACAGAGCAGAATGGGCAGGGGGCAGGGGCCTGGGGCGGTGGAGGGGGGGGCATGCCGGCATGGCCAGGTTCAGGTTGCATACAGTTCTGGAGTTCATGCGTCACAAATGTGTTGTTTAAAAATGCATGGACTGTATGTACTGCCTTGAATGTCTGAGCCTGGTTAGGATGAGGAGTGAGTGTGCATCTGCCGTCTTCCAAGAACGCTGTTCTGGAAACCAGGAGCTCTTTACTATCCTGGGAAGGCGATGTAGAAACATGACAGCGCGGTGGCTGCGGGGTTGTGGCTTCTGGTCAGGGCGCACCAGTCTAAGTGGCTAGTTGAGGACTGAGCCTTTGTCTCTGG